AGTGGCATTTGAGTTGCTCGCGACTTGGACATGGTGTCGATTCCATCGTCCTGGAACAAGTATGGCTTACAAGAGCTTGAGCTCGCTCAAACATGCAACCGCCCTTTGTATCACTTTGATATGAACCAGAGGGAAGGCTATCGCACCAAAAAAGCCACAGACCTGAGCCCCTCGGCAACAGACCAAGTCGATGCTTTCAAAGAGAGACATCGTTCATCCTGACTCGAAGAGGGATAGTTGATTGGTCGCCAGAACGCCTCTTTAGCCTGGATCGTGGGAATGGCAGCAGCTGGGCAATCATCGCAGCCAGCCAATAATTACGCCACAAGACTAGCTAACCACCGCCTTAGCCGCATGCTAGGACGTCTTTGTACAGTCGACTACCAAATTGGTTCAAGATGGAAAATGTACAAGATGGGCGCTCCGATCCTCTGGGACACACCGGTCTCAAGTGTCACGAATGCACAACCGGTCATCTTGCAACAAACATGCATACAAACTTCCAGAAACGGCCGACAGTCTGCGGCTTCTCCGGGCAGTGGTTCCTGGCTACCTCTGGTGATTTCAGTTGTCACGGTCGCGGACCATCTGAGAAGACACGGTGCACATATCGCCACTGCGACACATGTCTTGCACGTCAAAGAGGCGCGTTGACATCTTGAAGAAAGATTTCTTAATACGCCGCCAGTCAATCAGAATCTCAAGATGGGATTTTGGGGCGGTCAGACCCCACCATTTTAGCTGCCTTGAAACACCAAGCCATACAGAGCGTTAGCCGGTGCAAGTTAACCATGCAAGGGCAAGAATCACTAGCACGATCCCCTGTCTGCAACTGCAGTTCACACAGCCCAGAAGCCGTTGCGAATCTCATCTACACCACGGACACAGTCTGATGTTCTGCCAAAGAAAGGGGCACAGCACCCCCTTGGAGTGCTGATCGGACAATGATCTCGGGGTGCCGCGTTCGGTTCCTAGTCTGCGTTTTCCCAACCTGTTTGGTGTCGTCGATCAACACCAAATTTTGGACGAAATCCTGGGGGGAACAATGGGGCGCCATCGAGAATGCGCCCCTAAGATCCTACACCGATGAGACTGCTGCAACTTGCTCCTTCTCGTCGTCCACGGCAAAAAGACGGGTGGGTTTGAAATGTAATGCAATGGGTTGCCCTTGTTTCAATCCATCACTTGTCGCAATCCGGATCCCCTGCCTGTCGCCGTCCGCTGTCTCAGAGCTGCGAATCACACCGGGATGCCAGGTCTAGTCTTTCAAGGCCTTGTATTCGTACTTATTAGAGTGCAAGGCGACGCAAAGCATCTCTTTCAACTAAGGTTGGCAGCCGTTAAACCAAGGCTACAATTAAGAGCGCCTCCCAAAACAGTGCTCTCAACAGCGTCAAAAGAAGAAGTTTGGCCAGCAACGGACACATTTCAGATCCGAAATAAGGTAATTTCGCGCTGTCACTAGATCTTTGCGGGCAGGCGGACGGAGACTACTACCAGCAACTATTCCCGCGTCGGTACAGGGAGGCCACATGGCATAGCGAGCTCCTTTTCGCGATGCGACGCGGACCTGGCAGATGGAGAATTCTGCGCGCTCTCTCTTGCATATTGCGCAGGCACAAGCGAGAACTAAGATACCTTTTACAGAACAGCGCAGGATTTGGGATCCGGCTCTAGCAGATGCTGCGCTGCAGGTACGTTGCACCGTATCTTGACTAGGTTTGAGAACTCTTACGATCATCTGCTGTTATTCCCAAGGTCTCACATTGCGTCTATCAAATCGGCATTCCATATGGAAATCCAAATTGATCGGCCAGTTCGGATGATGGGTGCCTTGGTCCTGCAGTTGGAAGCACTGGAGGTCGGAGAAGTCCAAAGAGGAGATGTTCTAGAAGACCCATAGAAGCATTCTACCCCTGAGCCTGTCTCTTGTGTAACGACGGTTTGGCACATCACACACACGATTTGTCTTTAGTAATGGGAAAATCCATGATACGCCATCCATTTGCCCTCACTTTTGCGGGTATTCATGCCCGCCGTGGATGTTCGAGTTTTGTTTCGGACGGCTAGAACACCATGGACCCGAGGAGCTGAGGAACGACGTGCCGCCCTCAGCCACGACCGCCATCCAGACCAGTCGCTGGGTCTGGCTTGTTTCAGGGCAATCTGTTCTGCGCAGGTTTGCCATGTACAAGCATTTATGGCTGGAGAAACGCACTGAACCAAGCGGCCGCTGATGTATCTTACAAACACTAGCTTGCAGCCTCAACCAGCCACTGAGAGCCTTTGAGTCTTTGAGCCGTGGCAACGCACGGCTGCTTCCCCTGAAGATCGCACTGTCAGCATGGTGGGAATTCTGCCCCGGATCCACGCCGGAAAGGCTCTGTCCGCAAGGACAACGGGGACGGAAGCAAGGACAACGGGGACGGAGACAAGGACATGTCCTTCCGCGGCAATAGCTGAATAGTTATCGATGTTGCGGGTCCGGGGCGGGAGCCGGCCCGGCCAGCATGAGCACCAATGCCGGATGTTGTCTCCATAATTGTGCGGCCGAGGCCCGCGAAAAACAAGCTTGTTTAGCGCCGTCTTGACCGCCTCTGCGTCCGCGTCTCGACCAGACTTGGCATTGCCCTCTACCGACTGCATCATCTTTCTGTCGTTTGACGTCAGGTTTTGCTTCATCTGGGCACACTCAATCCAATTGAGCAATCCACACCAATATGTCTTCCATTCCCATGAACCGCTTGGGCGGTCGCGGTAAGCATCCCCGCCCGTTTCGCGTTTCTCCTACCCCTGAAGCTATGGCTTGAACCGCGACCGCCACAGGGAACGCGGGAAACAATCACCCGCCGATGCTTCCTGCGTATCGTACGAGTAGTTCCCCCGTGCTGACAAGACCGATCGTTCAACAGCGTTTCACCACGCCGACAACGACGATGACGATGTGGAGCGCGAGTACGACCGCCTCCGCGACCTCGCCCGTGAGGAAGCCAACAAGCGTAACCAGTGTTTTGAGCGCGTCCGTTAACCCCCACGCCCCTCGACGATCACCCCAACGTCGTGTCTGACTATTTCTGCAACACACAGTCTCAGCAGGCCTACCAGTCTGGCGATGGCGCCGCCGCCAAAGAGCTCTCGAACGAGGGCAAGCGCCACGCCCAGAAGATGGAGGACTACAACCGCCAGGCGTCCGAGTACATCTTCCGCGAGAACAACGCCGCCGGCCGCGTGACGGGCAGCTGCATCGACTTGCACGGCCAGTTCGTCGAGGAGGCGGAGCGCATGCTTGAACAGCGCATCCGCGCCGACCGCGACCGGGGGCAGGAGCACCTGCACGCCATCGTCGGCAAGGGCAACCACTCGACGGGACATGTGCAGAAGCTCAAGCCGCGCATCGAGGCGCTGTGCCGGGAGCTCGGGCTGAAGTACTCGACGGAGGAGAATGCGGGTAGAATCTACATCAACCTCCAGGGCAATGACGCGACGATGCCGCCGCCTCCACAGGTTGGTGGTGGTCAGCAGCACCACGGAGGCGGGCAGCAGCAGCACCACGGTGGTGGCCAACAGCAGCACGGAGGCAAACCCCACGGAGGCAAGCCCCACGGCGGCCAGCAACAGCATCACGGCGGCCAACAGCAACAGGACCAGGAAGACGACATCGTCGTCAAAATCCTCAAGAAGCTGGAGAAGGCTTGCTGTGTGGTCATGTAAAGTGCTTACTCTGTCTCGGGTTGTTCCGCGTGTTCTTGTCTGCTTTGGCCTTGGCGACTGCTGCTGCCGCTACTTGGATGACGGGCCCATGTGTTGGATGTGTAAATGGTAATGTTTTGTATCTGATGATATGATACCCTAACGAGAACGTCACTGGACCACGTCGAAAGGGGCCTCGGATATGGGCCAGCGAGTGTGCCCCTTTGCGCCTTTGTATATGTCCTTCATCTTGCGTATATATAAAAATGATTGTTTTCTTCGTCCCTTCTCTTTGCCCGTGGTCCATGTGCTTGGTGGAAAATGGAAGCTTGGTGATTGGTGCTCCTTCTGCTGGAGAGGCAGGAAGGCCTGCACTCACCTTTAAGAGGGCCGCTTCTGCGGCGAGTTGTCGGGGCATCTTGCCTCAGAGTGTGCGCGCACTCCGTCCGACCTTCATGGTCAAGCGGTTCATCTTGAACAAAAAAAAAAAGAGAACTCCACGAGTTCGAGTTAGCCATATTGGCGTAGGACTCTCACGAGTCTGAGCTTTTTTTGTCTCTTTTTTCCTTTCCCATTCCTATGTTTCTATTCCTCTATATGAGAATAGAAAGAAAACCTCTTTCTTTTCCTTAGCTCCCTTTTTTTTTCGTTTATGGGGTGTGAGATGGCTAACGGCGAGCTTTAGTTCATATCGCGCAGATCCAAACACGTTCATGTGTACGTACGTATTGAGCAGTGATGATTCATCTTCTAGCAGGTCCTCGGCGTGAATTTTCGCACGCTTAGAGGGGATTACGTGTTATAAAATACAGCCTTTGCCTCATCCCGAATGTAATCGAGAGTTGAGCATGACGTTGTATATTGGAAGGTGTGCATACGTATTGTTCTTCTGAAATGCTGATGGACAAGATCGCACGCATGCTTCATCTCACGTACAAATCGATCAGAACATACATTACTTGACAATTTGTTTTTCTTTTTTTTTTTTTTTTGGCAGAGGAAGAAAGGTGCTGGCTAAACAGAACGTGACATCATCTCAAGGTAGAAGAAGACGGGCGATAGAAATAAAAAGAAACAGAAAAAACACCAGGCAAAGAAACTCGGGTCCGATGTATTCAATCCTACGAAAAACCAACGGTTTTTACAGACGGTATAAGTGGCCAAAGGGTAACTCCCTACGCCATTGTGGTCGATAGGGGCACGTATACCCTACACATGCTGAAATATTAATTGGGAATGAAGTCTTGGAGCACGAGTCTTATTTAACGGATCTCAGATACGTCGCTGTTCTATGCTCTCATTGCGCCGACTTATGGGGCATTCTCCCATACATCCCCACCGCCCTCTGCCTCGGTCATCTCCTTCCACCTTTGCGCAAACTCCCTCAAACCGCCCTCGCCCGCCATACTGGCGTCAACAACCTCCTTGGGCAGCTTATGCGCCGAGTACTGTGGCGTACTGAAGTTGAAGGCCGCGGGGTTATCCTTCTCCACGATCCTCAGCTCAGGGACGACCTCGTCCGCGTCCTCGTCGTCTGTCGTCTCTTCCTCCGCCGCGCTACCCTCGCTCCAGTCGCCCCTATTCCCGGACATTGGAATCCTCACCTCGAAAGCCTCCTCATTCACCACGGACCCCAATATCGGCCTCGGTACCTTGAACTCGAGCAGCTCACCCCACGTGAAAAGCAGGCTGTCCGTCCGCGGCGCCCACGGGTTGATGTCGATCAGCCGCACCTTGCCTAGCTCATCGTACGAATCGCTGTCGCCCGGCACGTACACGTCAAACACAAAGGAGCCGTCTGGGAACGTGAAACGCAGCCGGTCCTCGAAGAAGTCCTCAATCTTGGACACCAGGGCGGAGCGCAGGCCGTCGAGGAAGGGGTAGTGGTTCCAGTCGCGCTGGCAGAGGCCGATGAGCGCGCGGTGCTTGACGAAACAGCGGAACTCCAGGGCCGGGTTCGGCGCGAAGAAGGGGCGGAGGACGAGGACGGGCTGGAAAGGGCGGTTCGTGGAGGAGGCGACGGTGTCGTCGAAGGCGTGCTCGAGGTCGTGGCTCACGAAGCTCGAGCTCTTGAGCAGGAGGTAGATGTCGTTGGGCGTGGTGCACTTGAGCGTGTTCTGGTGCGGCGAGATCCAGGCCGCGTCCTTGGGGGCGGACCAGTTCAGCTTGGGAGCCACGGAGCCGCCGAGCTCCTTGATGCGGTCCTTGATCTCCTGGTGAATCTCCGGAAAGCGCTCGTTTGGCGGGCGCGAGTCTGCCTCTGGCTCCGAGTCGGAGTCGGAGTCCTCGTAGAGATGCTGATTTCTCCGAGGGGCGCCGGATGTGTTTGATGAAGGCGCCCATTCTTCCTCTTCCTCATTTGAGTCTGGCTGGGCGGCGTCATCGTCCGCGAGAATGATGCCGTCGTCACGGATGTACTGTACGAAGTCTGGGGAGAGCTTGATGATGCGGGAGCGAATTGAGACGGTGCGATATTTGGGAAACCAGGCGTCGTAGGCACAGTTGAGGATGTGTTCCTTGGTGACTGGGGGAAAGATGAGCTCTTCGGCTTCCTGGGTTGCGTTGGTAATCGCGTCCAGGGTCGGTTGCCCCTCTGTGAGACCTTCGAGGGACGGCATTCTCAATAACTTTGTGTTTTTGCAAAGATTGGAATTCGTTTATGAAGTTTCCGGAGATTTTGGGACTGTTTTATGTGAAAACCACCAGTCAGATCTACCTCTAGTTAGAAAACAGCATTGAAGGTGCTCGGATTTTCACTTACATCGATGAGTCTTAATCGTTTAGTGAGTCTTCCTGTCGCCCAAAGCAGAAAGTACCCCACCATCCCACCGTCACATCTTTTTTTCTGCCGCCACGGCCCCGCCGCCTCTGTCATCCCCATTCACCGCCTTCGGGGACGGCAGCTCCCAACTGAACTTTCGTACCGCCAAGGGCCAGAGGTTGTAGTGACGTCTCTCCTCTCAGCCCCCAGCTCCAACAGCGCGTAATCCGTACAGAGAGACGCCCAACCTTGATTTTCTCCGACACCATCGATCGACATATACATCTAGCGAAGCGTGCAGTTATTCCCACGATACCCATATTATCACAACCAGATATTCGCCGCCTTTAGTCTCGCTACACCATACACACACGCCATGTCTGACAACGTCGGCCTCTCCACGCCTCGCGGCAGCGGCACTTCTGGCTACGTCCAGCGCAACCTCGCGCACATGCGCCCGCGCGACTACGGCGCGCCGTACCCTCCGAAAGACGCCGATTCGCTCCGTCACAAGCAACGGCAGCCCGATAAGGAGATTCTCGAGCACGATCGCAAGCGCGAGGTCGAGGTTAAGGTCCTAGACCTCCGAGATACCCTCGAGGACGAAGGGTAAGCTTATCTTTTCCCTCTCTTTAATTTGCGCAGATGTAGCTAACCACTTTGTGTCACTGCAGCCTTGAGGAAGAAGAAATTGAGACCCGATGCGACGAGCTGCGCCAGAAGCTCCTTGCCGATCTCGAGAAGCAGAAGAACTCACGCGGCGGCGGTCCGGTACGGAAGCACTTCAAAAGTCACCAAGTACACGAGATGGCGGACGCCAAAATCAAGGAGAGCGAGAGGCTTAGGAGCGCGCTGAGGATAAGCAAGGACTACGAGGAGGGAAGCCATTGGAGGAGGCAGGAGGAGAGACTGAGGAACGCCGTCGACAGGGACACCAAGAAGGAAGAGGCTGATTAAGTGTCGGTGCTCTCTCACTAGGTCTGTCAAGTCCGACGCGGCGCGTGGGTTCGGGTCATGGGTCAATATGGGATGGCGTTTTTGGCGTTTGGAATATCAGCGGAGATGAGACGTGCAAACCGAGATCACCTTAACCTCGTTTGGCTTGAAGCGTCTTGACAGAGAAATTTGGCTGTGGGACGGTTGCATATCGAATTATTGATACATGTGCGGAGATGGGCCCGTCTTTTAGTAATACAGATGCATCGCCGTCGTTTATGCCATTCTATTTCTTCCCCGCCGGCGGCACCCACGCCTGTGGCTGCCACGCCTCCCCGGGACCCTTGGCTTGCTCCCATGGATCGTGTCCGTATTTCTTCTTCGCTGCGCTGGTCTTCGGCGTTGATTGCGTTGGGATCGACTCGGTCGACTCGGTCGTCGTCGCGTTTACCGATTCCAGTTCCGGCGCAATTGTTTGACGTTGTGCCGTATTCAAGGCCGGTAACGGTTGGCCTGTTGCCTGCCCTGGGGCGTCCATTACCCTGGGCTTTGCCTCCCACCGCGCGTCTGCCTGCGCCGCCAGCAGCTTCATCCTCTCCTGCCTAACGACCTCGCTCGACTGTTCTTCGAGCGAAGGCGGGTGCTCACGTGTGTGTCTTAGCCATTGGTGCCATAACGGGGACACCTTCACATCGGACAGGTATGTCGATCGGGGGTAGTGGACGATGCGGCGGAAGCGGCCGGGTCCGTCGCCTCGTTGTTCGCGGAACTCCCAGTACGTGTAGCCCTGCAGGTCACGGCCTGGAACCGAGCGTGTTAGTATGGAAGGTTTCCAAGGAAGCGGTGCCTCTTATAGAAGAACCATGGTTGAGGTGAGGGGACGGACCGATGAGGAAGCGCTTGCGCCATGGTAGTCTGAGCGACTTCCACTTATACCAGGCCTCCAGTATTGGCGAGATCCGTGTTGAAGACATTTGGGCGTTTTTCTGTGAGGTTGGGGGAGACGAAATCAGAAAGTTCGTCGCTCAGGATCCCATGGCTTCAATATCTCGAAGTTGCTGGGCGTTTGGGAAAAGTAATGAGGTCAAGCTCAAATAATTTGCACCGCCACAGGGAAGTTCGGTCGAGGCTCTATTGGCTGAACCATGATTGGGCCGCCATATCCTCAGCCACGTATTTTTTGTGTTTCTGCAACGAGCCAACAGCAGTTGCCCAATGCGCTTCAGAGTTACATTGACCCCACCAGCCACCACCGCACACGTCACTCCGCAAGGCCGCGGCGGGCACGTCGGACCCCAGGCGCTGTCACCTTTATCCAGGTTCCCGCCTGGCTGAAGAGATGCATAAACAATTAAATCTTCCCCACCAACAAGGCACAAGTGCGGTCTTCGTCGGGCCTTTCAGTGTTTCCCAATCATTCTTCCCCTGCCACCCGACATATTGATTGTTCACCTCTCCCCGCAAGTCATTTCGATCGCCCTTTCGTCGGCCCTCCTCTTCCTCTCCTCAATCCCTTTAATCCCGAAGACTGCATCGAGCTGCGTCTATAAAACACCCTGAGACAAACTCGCGCCCGCGCGCGGAGCAGAGGATTCCAGCATCTTGTACCAGCTCCGTCATCCCCGGAGCCCCGCCGACGTCAGCGCCTAACCGCCGCGTCACTGAAACGCACCTACGAACCCGAGTGCGAAGCGCTTAAAGCATTAAACAACGAATCGACCCTGTCTACCAACATCCCGTCCTCACGACCTGCGAATATAACGAAACAGTATGGCTTCAGTAACGTCATTAGACAAGGATTTGCGCAAGTTGCGCTTAGAGAGGTACACGCCCGCCGCGGCGAAGGAGGTCAGCTCTTGGATTGAGAGCGTTCTCGGCGAGAGACTACCCAGCGGAGACTTGCTCGAGAGCCTCAAGGATGGCGTGGCGTTGTGCAAGTAGGTCAAAATGATGCTTTTTCCAGCGGTGCACCCAACTGACATGTGACTCTCAGACTCATCAACCTTGCGGTGCCTCCGCCCGGGGTCAAATTCAAGAAGTCCGCGATGCCCTTCGTCCAGATGGAGAACATCTCACACTTCCTCCGCGCTTGCAAGCAACCGCCTCTGAACCTCCAAGAGCACGATGTATTCCTTACAGTCGACTTGTACGAACAAAAAGACCCGGCCCAAGTACTGCAATGCCTCGGAGCATTCAGCCGAGCTGCCCACACCGCGAACCCAGCCAGATTCCCGACGCCGATTGGCGGCAAGACCCGAGGTGTGATGAGCCCTCAGGGTACCGGACGTGGAACCCCTTCGCCTACCCGATCTCGCGGACTGTCCAATGCCTCCGGATTCGGCTCCCCTCGACCCAATCTGACAAGCTCAAAGACCGGTGACTCGGGATCCGGTCGATGGAGCCCGACGAAGCCGACATCTCCGACTACCAGCTGGAGCAAGAAGGAGCATGAGGGCGCCACATCTCCGGCCTGGAATATTGCTCAGTACGGCTACATGGGAGGCGCTAGTCAGGGCAACCTCGGAATCTCGTTTGGAAGCCGGAGACAGATCACTAGTGCTGGTCCCAACGTACCCAGCCTGGCAGAGAGGGAGAAGAAGCGTAAGGAGAAGGAGGCCGAGGAGGAACACCAACGCCAGCAAATGGAAGACCTCAGGCGCCAGAAGCTGGAAGACGAGGAACGACAGGCACGCGAGCAAGAGGAGAGGGAGATCCAACGCCTCGTGGAAGAAAAGCAACGACGAGCGGACGAGGAGAGAAGACAATGGGAGGAGGAGGAGCGCATGTGGAAGCTCACGGAAGAAAAGCGACGCAAGGAAGAAGAGGAGGCCGAGCAACGTCTGGTCGAAGAGCGCACCCGCACTAGAAGCCGCAGTGATGCTAGACTCCGAGGGCAATTCCTGAGCCAGTACCAGGCCGAGCAGAAGGTTCAGCCGCAAAAGACTGGCGCAGATAGAATCGCCGAGCTGGAGGCTGAGCTTGAGAAGGCCAGAGAACGTGAGAGGCAGTACGAGCTTGAGCGTCAGGGGCGAACAGGCAGGACGTTGGCTGTCACCAACGATCCCAAGGCGCGGCTGAGGTCTAGGAGCCGGCCGTCCGACGGAACACCTAGCCGACAAGATTCCTGGTCTAAGAACGAGCGTGAGGTTCTTCAGACATCATGGACGCAGCATCAGGAATCCCTACAGGATGACGAGCCTCCGGCCCCACCTCCGAGATCGCCCAGACCCCTGCCTGACCCCAGAGCCGTGGCATCCCCGCCGCCGCAGAAGGTCGGGGCCCACACCACCGGCGGCCGACCTCTTCCGGACCCCGCCGCCTACAAGGCCGCGCAGCAACCTCCGCCAAGCCGAACTGACAGGTTCCTCGCTAACAACGCGGCACCCGTTCAGCCCCCTGCGAGGCAGACCTACTCCCGCGAGTTGAGCGCCACCGCTGAGCAGGACGCTGAGGACCGCAGACGCGCACAGAGCCAGACTAACACTAAGGCTGGCGGCTGGGCATCTAAGTCACTCCTTGAGCGCGAGATGGAGATGGAGCGCCAGCGTCAGCGTGAGTGGGAGGAGGCACAGCAGGAGACTGCCAAGGCCGTGCCGACCGGCAATGGCGTTGACGGCATTGGTGGTGGCATCGGTGGCCGCTGGGACGTGAGCCAGTGGGCTGGATACACCGGCGGCGATAACCAGAACAAGGGTAGCCAGGGAATTGGAGCTGGAAGAAGACAGATTGTCGGACCGAGACAGATTGCTGGACCTAGGCCCCTGCCTAACGTGCCGCGATAGTCCTACAGTAGACCTAAAGATTGACCTTGTTTGTTTAGAGCGCAATGGGCAGGCTTAGTTTGCGAAGATCCCCCGTGTCGTCTGCTCCGTCTAGATTGTAGATGACTGAGCACTTTGAAATAGGTAGATATCACTTATTAATGAGCGAAAATCAGACCGATTGCTGAGATATATCTGTTGCCTTGTGATAACCCTGTCATCCTCTTACAGTATATCTTAATCTGTTTCAAGGCACATCAAGTTGGAAACGACGAGGGATTATTAGGATATTCTAGGTATTCTGTCCGTCTTTGTATATCGAGACTCCCTGCAATGGCTCTGAGGAAAGTGCTGGCTTTAACGATGCTCGTGCTAATAACACAAAAGAGAGTGAACTCTTTCACTTCAGCTCCTGATTTCATCTGACTGGACTCTCATCACAGCCTTCCAGTAAACCACTTTCTTATCAGAAACGGTAGTCTTTTTGGGTGGGGCTCAAATACTAACTCCTCCAGAAGGAAGACCTCGCCGTGGCACCTTCCCTCAACTCACCAGCTTTCAGGGGCAGGAGCACCTTCACTCATCCCAACCATTCGCTCCTTCTCTTAAAAGATTTTATCTTCTACTGCCGTCATTCACTAGCTCCTCGCTTAGCCCAGGCTGCTAGACCTTATCCCTCCGAAGATAAAAGCGCCTCTCACCTGCTGCTCACTCTTCAAACCCTTTTCACCACAACCACTCTACCTTTCACAAACACCTTATCCATTCACACAAGATTCATCAATACCTTCACTCACAAACATCAATACCTTCCCATTCAATCACTTCCACTCACAACACAACAATGCGGATCCAGATGAACCCTGTCATCGCCGCCATCATTCTGGCCTTCGACAGCACTGGTGGTGTTCACGCCGCCCCCTACAATCTGTCGGCTCAGGACGGTGCTGTTTGTAACGGCATCAATCTTGCCAACCACACTCGATGCGAGCCCTTCCTCTCAGCTAACGGCACCACTGTCCCCATCATCATCAACGACGCTCTTGGCTCCAAGCCTCCCATCACCTCAGACACTGCCAAGCACACCATCTACGTCAACCAGGAGAACAGCACCACCCATTGCTTGATTGACGGGGCCCAGAAGCCCCTGGCTGGCAACCCCTGGGACCTCCCCAAGCTTGCAGATGCCAACGATTGCATGGTCATCCACGACTGGGCTGGATCCAAGCCTGGCTACTTCGCCATCCCTAAGACTGTCCTTGACGCCAGCCACAACGTCTTCCTCGCCAAGTCTGGCACTTGTGCTATTGGTCTCTACCCTAAGACCTACAACAACAGCGACATGTCTGTTGGCAGTGTCGATCTGGCCAAGGTCATCAACCTTGCCATTAAGTATGAGTTCGATGGCGCTGGACATGTCGAGGCTATCGATTACGCTCAGTGCGACGTCACCAACGACGAGCACAACAAGAAGGACTACATCCTTTGGTACCTCTCCCCACCTGAGAAGAAATGGTAACGGCCGTATGGATAGATGGCTTCACAAAGGATACGACTTTCATGGCTTGGGACTGCGCTTGGCTTTCAGGGAGGACTTCGTTTTATCACAGGACTTGGTTTTTTAGAAGGGCATGGTTTTGACATGAAGGAGGGAAATCGTTCTGGAGTTTGGGCATAGATAGACTGGCACATCACTCGCACGTCTTTAGCAACACCAGAGCTGGTAGATGAACATCGCGACGAAATTACACAAGCTTCACCACGCATATTGCTTGGCTTTAACCGCTAAAATCATGATCATTTCTGCTTCTGAAGTTTACTGCCACCAGCAGTTACTTTTTCTTTTTGCCTTCGTAAATGTGTGCCCTCCCCTCACCTTCATCCGGGGTCACACAAGAGAGGCAGGGGCGACTTCCCTTTGACGAAAATTTCCTCCTTCCCAAAGATGCGTTGCTGAACGCCCTTCTTCAGACGAGATAAGCGAGGGACAAAAATTCACCTTCACCAGAAGCCCTCTTTTCCCAATGGGAACCTTTTCCCTGCCTCTTTTCCCACACAACAGGCCAAACTTCACAAAAGGCTTTCCCCTTTCTTCCATCAGACAAACACAAGAAGCTGAAAACCCGTCCTTATCACCGCCCTTTTCCCTCATCAATACCTGAAAGATGGCTGCCATGTCCCGCCTCCTGGGCGCCATCACTGTGATGGCCTTCACCGTCATCTCCAGCACTGCCACTCCCTTCACGGGCAAGCCCGTCGACCCCAACTGCGGCGTCATCTGCAGCAACCTCGAGCGGCCCTACGACGGAGCAGTCTGCTACGAGACCAAGCGCGAGGACGGAACCTGCCAGCCTGTCTGGGTCACCGCCGCCATGCTTTCCACCCGCGGCGACGGCTTGAAAGATGTCGACCACAAGGCCCCCGGCGCCCACTACCACAACACCGTTCCCGTCGCCGGCAACCTCCCCATCATCAACGACCGCGAGGACGCCGGAACCGAGAATTCCCTCGCCAAGCGCCTCCAGTTCGACCTCGCGCCGAAGCCTCAGCGCGTCTGCGAGTACGTCGGCCCGACCTGCATGGACCCCAGCCGCGGCAAGGGCGCCAACCCCGGCGATTGCGAGGACCTCATCCGCTTCTGGTACAACAACCACGGAAAGTGGACCATCCAGAAGAGAGACCTCGAGGGCCGCCACTACCTGGAGCTCGCCCAGAGCGGCAGCTGCCTCTACGCCGTCGGCCACCCCCACCTCTCGGTTCAGGCGAACGATACGGTCGTGGGCAACTCCGACATCTGGGCCACCCTAGCCCAGGGCTTCAACGAGTGCGGCAACAATGGCAAGATGGAGGTCCAGGGCATGCTCGACTGCGATGAATGGAGCCTCTTCTTCTGGATCGGCAGCAAGGACAAGTTCGAGTGCTGCAAGGGCGAGCATCCCCCCAATGCGTGAGGGAAAAAACAAAGATGTACCTGGGATACGAAGCGTTGGACAGTGTCTTGGGCACTTGCACCTTAGAAGTGAGGAATGGATCAAGAAGAGAACCTGGCTTCTGGCATTTGTCAAGCATCACCGCCATACGGAGGAGTTACAGAGATGAGCCGCAAAGAGTCGCAGACTTCTGCTTAGCTATTGGCAGTTACGAAAAGGAATTTGACACCGTAGTTCATCCGACACACAACCTGTCTTGACCTGACGTGTCGTCGATGTGATACACTGAAAGCTGTCCCATCAATGCTGAGCCTCCGTCTCCCGCCCACCCACCTTCCGTGAGTCAGGAAGAGAGGATGAAGCAAGCTTATTTTGAATGATGTAAGCCGTTCCTGCTGGATGGAGAGTTTCATCCGCATGGACAAGCTCCAAAGACTACAATGGTAAGCGAGCATCAGATCGAAGGAGAGGGACCCAACAGTCCGTTTCGTGAAGGTGCTCTAGGCCTTGGCCAATGCTGCAGAAACTGTAAAATATGGAACGATCAAACTGTGGTTGAACGAGATCGCTGTGGATTAAACCATGTTGCAGTGTCGTTCATCTCACCGCGCACTCACCTCGCTCCCGCCGAGTTCCCTGCCGTTCCCACTACGCTCGCTCAGTCTTGGACGTTAGGCGCGTGTTACAGCATTTTACCGCAGCGATCCGAGTGGGCGGCGGAATACGGCAAGTCTTGCAGAGTCCATCCGCCGGCCGCTCCGAGTTCGCCAGCTTTCCCTGATTGAAGCGGACAACCGGCACTCGCCTGTCACCCGAAGTGTGTCGTCTTGGACGTCACATATCCAATCGGCAGGAAAATGGGGCGGATGGTATTGGTGGCGGTAGTGGTGGTGGTGGGCTGCCAGCGAGACAGCAACTCTTCCGAGGTTGCCCTACACCGAGGCGAACTAGCCTCCGAGGTGGAATAAACGCAGAAACAAAGTCGTTCAAGCTGACGAACCCACTTACCAGACACTGGGAGCGCAGCATGTCGCGGGCGCGCTGGAGAAGCCCAAGGTTTGAAACCTGAGCGTTTTCCGCAGTCCCCTGGCTCGGACCAAGCATCGGCCTCCGGGCGATCTCATGCAGACAGCCTAAAACCCCAAGAGTGCCCACGTCCATCATACTTCCCTGTTGACCGTTCACACCATCTTTGCCTTCTTCTCTGCGTTGTTCCTTGAATGGAAGGTGATGTCGAGGGCGGCTGCAGGGAAGCTTTCTTCGCGTGTTCCCAAGCAGCATAGGATAGTTCCCCCGGCAGAGGCCACAATTGCCCTACCCAAATTGGTTGACATGGACGCCTAGCCGGACCGTGCCGACTTTTCCTTTGCCTCGCCTTTGCTTCCTGGTTCCTTGGCCTGATTCCGATCCTCACGCAGCTCGGCGCAATGGGCAGTCCGGTTGGGTTAAGTTGAGCGGATAGTCCTGTTCGTTGGGAAGAGATGGCGCGCACGACTCGAGTCTGTTCAGCTTATTCTTAAAGGCAACAACTACACTTTTCCGCTCCTTTGGTCCCCTGATTTCAGGTGTCGTGTGTTTTTCTCCATGATTGTACATAGGAGTTGCGCGTGTTCGGCGAGTTGTTATCTCGGTTTCGGTGTAAGACGTCATGTGGGCGGGAGCCGCTCTGATCGCCTTGCTAGCTGCAGCTGCTTCGTGCGCACCGTCGCCACAAGGCTTGAAGACGGACATTACAATCCTTCGAGACAATGATCTTCAAGGTGAGCCGCAAGTGATCTTTCCTCAGACACATCCAGTATGTTGACGAGAGGTGTTGCCCAGATACGCAAAGCTCTTCGGCCAACTTCAGCGCACTCTTTTTGGGCGAAGGTCTGTCTTTCGATGAGGCCAATGCTACTTGCAGAGAGCTCGGGGAGCTGCTCTGGTCTCCGGAGACCAATAGCACCGAAAGACTCCTAGCAATCCTCGATTACCAGGAAAAGAACGTGTCTGCGATCTGGATCGCAACCGCAAAGAATGACAACAACCCCAGAGCAATTAGCTCCAAGGGCAACGTGTCCTCTCCCGGCGCGTCCGACAAGCTCCCAGCTTTGTGTACTCATTCAGCACCATTCTCCAACGGCGTTGCCCAAGATACAAGCGAGCGGTGGCAGGTGATGGTGAATTCGAATAACGACGACACCCTCGGCTTTCGCGACAGAAACAGCTTCCGCTTTCACGGCCTTCGATTCGCATCTCAGACAAGGCGGTTTGATTACCCTAAGTTGTACAAGGGATCTGGTGGGAAGAATGTGTCTGCCCTCGAATTCGGCTCTCCGTGTTATCAGGGGTTCGGCGGCAGCGAGGACTGCCATTTCCTGAACATTTATACACCGTACCTGCCACGATCTAGACAAACGGATAAGAGGCTTCGGCCAGTCATGTTTTGGATTCATGGAGGTGCTCTCACCAGCGGTTTTGGCAGCGACCCTCTATTCGACGGGGGTAATGTTGCTTCGCGGGGTGATGTTGTAGTTGTCACCATCAACTACCGACTGGGCACGCTCGGGTTCCTTGCGCTGGACGACAACGTGACGAATGGCAACTTTGGCCTCGCCGACCAGATAGTAGCACTAGACTGGGTCCTGGAGCATATTAGGGACTTCGGCGGAGACCCTGCCAGAATCACAATCTTTGGCCAGTCTGCTGGGGGCGCTTCTGTTCGCGCTTTGATGGCGTCACCCAAGGCAAAGGGCAAGTTTGTAGCAGCGATTCCCATGAGCAGCCTAGGCGGACTGACGTATGGGGCTTCGTACGCCAAGTACTTCACAATCGATCAAGCGATGGAAGTGGTCGGTAACACCATTCTCAACGCCACGAATTGCACCAACAACCGGTCGCGTGTTGATTGTCTCCGTCGAGTACCAGTCGAGAAGCTCAACCGCGGAGCTCGCTATATGGTCGTGGATGGCAAGTACCTGACGTCGAATGAGCTGCAGCTCAGTGGTGATAAGATGGACGTCCACATAATGATGGGAACGACCGCCGAGGATGGTCTTGCGTTTCTCATCTTTCCCGAGAATGGCACCGTCCCGAACACCACCCTGTGGCTCACTTCCCAAGGGCTTCCAGACCCGCCGCGAAATCTATTCCCCCCATTGAATACGACAACGAACAAGACGAGGCAAGCGTTTGGTGTCGGCGCTCGACTCGCCACAGATGCCATGTTTCGCTGCATAGACCAGGCGACTGTGTACGCGGGTCTCGAAAGCGGCGTGCTGGGGTCGAAGGTGTACTACTACGAGTTTGAGCGGACGTACCAGACACCAGAATGGCCGCGGCTCGATCTCTGTGAGGCACCAAAGTCTAAGGAACATCCGAACGGGAACCCGGAGTCGTCCACCGACAACCTGCGATGCCATTCCGGAGAGCTGGTGTCGTTGTTCGGCAACCTCGCGCGACAGCGTCTGCCGTTCCGAGATGAGTACGACTTGCCTTGGGAGCAGTATCTCGTTGATACGTTTACGTCATTTGCGAGGACGTACGACCCGAATCCCGACAAGGACTTCCTCCGAGCTAGAGGATTCAACTCCACGTTGGAGGCCTTTGAGAAGTCCGGGCCTTGGGAGCCGTCGATGAAAGGCAACATGAGTATGAGATCCATTGACTGGCCAGTAGAGAAGCAAATGATGAGAGGGTTCAAGGATTTGGAGCAGTGCAAATTTCTGAATTTGCCGTTGGATTTCTACGTTTGAGTAAATAATTGAAGAAGGTGAGAAGGATAGAGGATGCACATAAAGTAGTTGGATCTACATAATTAGACGTTCTTAGTACACACTTTAGGGATCGGTCAGCTACGAAATTAATAATTGCATAACCTGGTTATATACATATACTACCCTGCTTTGAGGCCTCCCTCGTTCCTCTTTGCTTTCTAGACCACTCAGTGCATTTCTGGGTCAGGGGCCACGAACTTGTCAGATATGCTGCCACTTCTACCTATGGAGGTGGCAGGAGGCTGTGTTTGCGAGCGCGGCAATGCCAGCAATGGATGCGCCCATTGGGCCAAGAAGCAGGCGGCCTCTCACCCCCGTGCTTCTGTTGGCATCTCGTTGGAGGACCTCATGCAGCGCCCACCCCATTGGCCATCTGCAGCCTCTAGGCGACACGCATATGTGCCATCAGGCAATCCCCTCAGCACCCGTCGTCACGACTGAAAGAGATACTCAGCATATCAACTGCTTCATTTACGATTCTCTGAACGAAGGTAGTGTATCTCGAAGGCGAGTCGTGGCCCACAATGGAGGCAGCAATCGGCATCATCGGACTCTCTTTACAACTTATAGACTCGGCAATGAGGGTCAAGCGAGTCATCAGCACGTATCGATCTGCTTCGTCCGAGATCAACCGCCTGGCGCTCAAAGTCGAGCGGGTCGAGGCCATATGTGGCGCCATCATGAAAAACTTCGAGGGTAGTGACGCGGGCCGCCGGTGCTCTGGACTGATGGAGAGTTGGGGCGTTTGCGTCTTGCGAGATATACAGTCAACACTCGTGGAACTTCATGGCATCGTGACCAAGCTCGAGAGGAGGGCGTCCAAGAAGCGCGCTCTTCATACAGTGGGTATCTCTTTCCTAGAAAAGAAGGATGACATAGCCCGATTGAGCACTTGCTTGGAAGAAGATCTGAGTCACTTGCAGCACATGATGACTACGGAGATATTGCCAGTACCTTCCCAGGCTTACCGAATGGACTGAAAGCCTAAGTTAACCTTCAACCATCGCAGCTCGCGTTGTGAGATCTTGGAGCAGTTACTTCTGCCTCAGCACGCCACTAAGACCAGTTTATCAGCACCTCGTCCGGCCCTGACTCCTGGAGCCAGTCTAGGTTCGCTTCAATTGATCCGGCCAAACACAATCTCTGACGTGGAAGAATCTCGCTGCGAAGCTTTCTCGAAGCTCCGAACTACCATTATACGTGGTGATTTATCGGGACTCCAGCAGATGCTTCTGGCCCGTGAGGTCACTCCCACATCTTTCGTGGCTCGCATGACATTATTCGAGGTAGGATTTCCCTTTTAGTCTCTGCGCGTCACAGAAGTTGACAATAACCGAATAAGTTTGCTGCCTCTTTGCATGAGCCAGATATTTGCCGCTTTCTAGCCCGCCAGAACTTGCAACAGTGTCTTGGAGAAGAGTAAGTACCTATGATTAGAACTCAGTTACAATAATACTGACAACATCTATAGTCTCTGTAGACCCATCATTGGCGAAGGTCAAGTGATCTCGTACACTCATCCATTGAGAGGCACAGAATTTGAAAAATGTTCACGCCTGTCGAACCTGGATGATGTCTTCCTCTCGATGGGTATTCCTGCCACTACACGGATGCAGTGGCTTCGCTACTTGAGACTTGAGCGGTCGCATTTCTTTTACTACTATCAGCGAATACGAGCCTCCGAAGTTGACAAGATGGAAAGAAACTCTCTACTCAATGCAGCGTGGGACGCAGCAGTCGATGCCTTCCGAGATGATGCGGTCCATGGGCATCTTTGGATTCCAGACAGCCAAACCATGGCTTCGTGGGCCAGTATTTTCTGTGCTCTTATCAGCGAGGGCGTCGACATTCACAGATTGTGCAGCGCCGGCGGGCTTCCCCTTGAGGGTGATGACTTTGCGTGGTGTACTTCGTTCTGTATGATGCTTTACTCTTCCAGATGCCAGCGAGAGGTCGAGTATACGATATCATGCTGGCTTAGTGTGCTGAAGACAGCTGGGGTTGACACGGTGAAATATTTAAGATGGGAGACAGCTTATTGTGAGGATCGCTTTGGTTTTGAATATCCAGGTCGTGCGAATGACGCCTGGCCCCAGATTCTGGGATTGAAGATCATTTGCGGGTTCCAAGTTCCTATTCAACGCCGTTGGGTTGAACCCGATAGTCCAGCAAGCGAGGTTCGACAAGAGTTTAGGAACTTCGGCTCCTGGGAACGTCCTCCTGTGTTCATTGCCCGTTGGTCGGAGGAAGCGGACAAAGATATCCGCCGTCAACATATTTTATGGAAGAACTCCCCAAATAGGCAGGTCTCCAGCGAAGATGATTGGCCATACCAAGACTTAGTGGCAAGAGACTACGATTTCGACGACATATTGAAGAGCCTGTATTGGGTTGAAGACTGGCCAGATCGTCGGACTTCGTTTGATTATGCAAAGAGATTATACCACGAGAGGTTCGAGAGAAGGCAATCGAAGAAACTCTACAAGTCCGGGTATCTCCAGAAGCAGAAACAACTCAGAATTCCAGGGGCCTGGGAAGAGTCACGTTGGTAATAATTGGAACACAGTACCAACCTGATCTAAAAGAATTGCCGCTCTAAAACCAAGCTGACCGTCCGATTTTGTCCCTCTGCATCATGAATGTACAACCCCAAAGATATGCCGGTAAGTTCCAGACCTTCGTTCAAGCCCGCCCACCAGTCATTCGATGCCGGAGGCACCGCCTGCGACCCGGTGGTAGCATATTCGGATCCAGACCCAGGCCAAGACCACTAACCAGCAACATTCGAGGCCACGTACAACCGCACACTCATTCTATGTAGCCCCTATTCGACCGGATCGTCGAGGTCGGTATGACTGGTCATAGGAATCGTCCGACGCTAATGTCGTGATTCAACCCCCCTGAATCCGTATCTCCATGTCAAAAAGCGGTGTATGCGTGTCACGGATCTAGTCGAAAGAAGAATTGACAGCATGAGAGAGCATGATCTACTGTCGTTTACCGGAAAACGGACGTGGAAAGGCGTTATGATTCCGGAGTGCATGGTTCTGGGTCTGTCGTCGGATCAAGCACCATGCGGATGACGGCTAGGTCTCGGGCCGCAATCAGAAAGGAAAGAAACAGTTCTGGAGAACCGTGAAGGGACCGGGCTGGTTTCGTTGTTCAGTCGACTGCGTTTGCCAGCACAAGTGTAAGTGAATAGTGCCGTCAAAGAAAGAGAAACAGGGGGCCATAAGGTCAGAAGATGTGTCTCCGAATGCTCTCAGTGACCCAAAACATCACACTCATCACTAGAGGCAAAAGCATGGACAATCTAGGAATCGAACCTAGGACCTACCCCATGCGAAGGGGTCGTTATACCACTAAACCAATCGCCCTGTCTTCAATGAGAACACTGTGATTACAATAGTTCATATCTTGACGAGCTTGCAAAGTTCCTCGGGAGAGCTCATCCAGTTGTTGGGCAAGAAATAAGACATGGCGTTGATGGCGTCGCCGGGAACAGCCGTGAAGACATGGGCTGATGGGATAGGCCCAGGGCCGCCGAAATCAAGGCTGAATGTGCTGTTTTGCAGAGTAGCTTTTTCACGCCACTGTCATTCAATATGCCTTGTTGAAAGGCTTCACTTCCTCTTCCTCTGGAAGAGCACATTTGCCTCGGATGCAAAACCGGTCATCATCGAATGCAGTGCAACAGACACGCTGTCCAGGCACCAGATGACCCGTTGCGGGTATTCCATTGGGCGTCATCCCTACCGCGTCGCTGCGCGCTCGACAAAGAAACATATATCCGACGAGGAAGAAAATAAAAGGCACATTGTGCAAGAAAACCACGTAAAGAATCGGAACCTAGAATCTTACGAATCCCAGTAGTCGTGTAAGCCAAGCAACGAGGCAACCGCAAGGCAACTTGCGAACCTCTAGCCTCTTGAGACAATGCAACGGTAAATTGAACGACATTTCAGAAGGAAAAATGCATTTTGGAAAAGATTTTGCGCCATCTACGACGCTGGCACTTAGACCGGGCGCAGCCTGATAGGGTGGGTGTACGCATGTCGTAGTTATTGGAAGCCAAGTACTTTTTTCGCTGCAGGGAGGGTTCAGCGTCAGCGCATGACCCGTCTTGCGGAATGAAAACCGTTTCGTCGATTCGATTAAGGAACGATCTTGGGGAGCCGGCTTAGAGTCGGGTTCTTCGGATGGGTCTCCTCATCTTTGACAGGTGGAACGATGATGACGAAGAGCTGCACGGAGGACAGAACTAGTGATGGAAAGAAACCGTTTTTGAGTTTCCAACTGTCTTCTGAGAACCGTTAACCCTGTATGACGGCGATGATGCTCCCTCCCGCCTGTCATGAAGCCGTTCACAACCGTCTGCGCGTGGTACGTGAACAAAGTTTACCTTGGTGGAACAGGACAATTTTACTTGGGCGCCCAGCCTGAGTAATTAGTTGGGCCTTCGCATCGTACATGTGTGATGGTTGGGTTGAGATGATGTCGAACGGCAGGTGAGAGACGCCTGCTGTGTAAGTACTGTACAGCAACAGCCCGCAGGCTTGGTATGCCTGGCCTGTGATACCTCTGTTTTCGGTCTGTTGCATCTTCAGCCACCCCACTGCAAAAGGCCATTTTTGTGTGTTTGGCGTTGAAGAGCCCTGTGGAAACACTGTGGCTGTCTCTGTGCGATGTGAAATCGGCCGTGTGGGATATGACGAGCCTCAAGATAGCCCTAGGCATGAAGCTTTCTGCGGCTTTTGTAAGACAAGTCGTTGAACTGACGACAGACACCACTCCTTACCATCACGATCGATGAACGTGGCACGGTAAAACAGCTCATGGCCTGCGGTCTCGAACCAGAGTAGTTGGACCGGCATCCGGAGGTGGTCTGCCTCAGTAGACGTCGTATTTCAAAACAGGGACTTCCTTGTCTTGCCGTGATGATCTTCGGGAAGAACGGGTCGAGATACATAACTGAATCCAATGTTGTACGTCAACACGGATGGTGCCGGGAGCCAAGCCGACCGTCGCGAATAAGTTCCCGTTAGGCAACTATTAAGCTGCGGCTCTGCGATAGCGACTGAGACGGAGGGCCATCTTGTCTCATCCTCCTATCGCCAGTCCCTGACGGAGCTTGGTATTAATCGACGACTTGATAGGTGGGCGGACTCGGAGCCTTGGGGCTGTAAGCCGGATCATCGAAAATGACGGAATAGGCTAGTTGTCAGACTGAGTCTCCAAAACAAGATTGTGAGATCCCTATTCCCGCTTCTCTAGTCTGTCTCATGAGCAGCCGTCCCTGGAATCAGTACGGAGGAGTCCTGCGACTGGAACTGCATTTTGCAAAGTGCAACCTGGCGCCACGGCGACTACCTTCTTGATGCCGTCTCACGGCACCGAAGGCGGTACCGAATTTCAGTATCCGTGTTTAATCGCGTCAACGAGCTTCCTCTTGTCCCGGTGATGACGGGCGTTCTGCGTTGCAATGCAGCAAGACGTGCATCACTGGCTTCTTGACCGACCGCGATCGCCGGGTGAATGACTTCTGCTCCTATGACCGAGCAGAGGTATAAAGTAGACCAGGATATTGTTTCGTGCACGCTTGATTGGCGGGGAAAGCCACTATCGTGTAACTGCTCATGCACGTTAATGCTCGCTTCTTTATCTGGTCAGTTGATGCTCCTCTTCTGCCAATTGGAGGCCTCAAGACGGAATCCTAGTGGGTGTCGAGTGATGGTTGATATAAGTACCAAAAAGTGTAAGAATTCTAACCCCGATTGGGGCGGTGCCAGGCTGGGGCTGCACCCATTCGCCATCACCCCGCGCAAGTGCACGAAGCCATACGCAACCCCTGCAATCCCTAAAAGAGGCACAGCCAGCTTCGGTGAGAGTCTGAAATCGATGATGGTCTAGCTGGCCGGTTGCCTCGTTTGCGGACCATTGCAACCCAGGTGATCATGCCGCGACGCGCCCTCCCGCACGTCGTTTTCCTCGTCGCGGGAGAAAGCGACCCCGTTGGTTGCGGGGTATGTAGTCGCAGTCTGCAAGGATGCTCAAAGATAGACTCCAATGGTTTTTTTTGGGGGGTATTTTGAGTCTGATGACTGCACTTTGCTCGAGGAACCTGGCCAGTGTTCAGCGAAACCAAAGGTCTGTACCGATTCCAAGTCTAGTCGTGATCGATTCCAGGCCTCGAGTACGTACGCGCTTGGCTCAATTTCTGGCCGCACGGCTGAAGGCTCAAACACTTTGAGAAGCACCTTGGATCCTTTGAATTGCGGAGGATTATCTCACTTGGAGAATCCCAGGTGTGGGAAGTGCCGCTCGCGGAGACCAGGCTGCCGAGACAAGGTGAGCGGCAATGCCCACCATCTCACCGACAAGGATAATAATGGTTGCCTCGCTAGGAAGAATATGGCTGATGGAAGAGGTGGCGTGACAGAGCCAGTGATAGGCTGAATAACGGCAGGAGAAAGTTGTCCTCCAGGCGGTGAGAGTTATCGCTCTGCTTGAAAGACTAAACGGAGCCCCTGACGGCCGTTTCTTCATTTCTCCGTCTGTATCTTCGCCTGCTTCCGAATAATGAAAACGCCCCCCGTTTCCCAGGTCCGACACTAGACCTGAGCAACCTTGTGCTTCCTAGATCAGTGTCACTGTGGCTGTAAGTGTCAAGTCGCCGTCGCCGTTGAGCAAAGTCCTGCGCTGTGTGTCTGTCGTCTCTGGCAAAGATAAAGACAACAAGACAGCGCACCTCCACACCCTCTTGATCCCTCGACTCTTGTCTCATACACCCTCCCATAGAAAAGTGGTTCGCCTCACTTTCACTGTCGAAGTCTCGGGACTCGGGACCGTTTTTGTGCTCTTTCTCTGAACGAGGCAACTGGTTTTGCACATTAGTCCCTTCTTACTGCTGCGCTTTTGCTTCACGTTGGCCACGGCCTTGAAGAGTCCATATAACCAACCCTTACCTCTCTCTCCTGACTCACCGAGCTGCATCGCCATCTTCAAAATCCCCTATTGCTGCTCAACACCAACATGGCACTCCCACCTGGGGTTATCAAGTTCGCGCCAGGGGGAGGTGGTCAACCCCCACCACCTCCTCCTCCTCCTCCACCGCACCCGGCTGGAGCCAAGGTGCCGCATCATCATGGACCGCCTCCTCCTCCACCTCCTCCGCCGGGCCGGGCACAGGTACCGGGACCATTCGCTGTCAGACACCCCGGGCCTCCGCCGCCTCCCGTCAGGCCTGTTGGAGGTCCAATGCCTCCCGCTGCTGTCGCCCGCCCTCCCATGGCACATCACTCAGCGCACCCAGGACCAATTATCCACCACATGCCGCCACCGATGCCGCTTCAACAAATGCCAGTACAACAGGTGCCGATACAACCCCCACGGGATAGAATCCCTCCCGAGCTGCGAGAGAGAAGCCTCGTGGAATATTCGGACCTTCGAAGCGAACGGATGACGGACGCTAGCGCACGCGAATTCCTGTCCGAGTACGTCGTCTACCGCTTCGAAAAGGTCCTGGATCCCATGGAGACCGACATTGAAGGGTTCCCAACGAAGCCAACTTGGGAAAACGTCAGGCGGGTTGAGGTTCGTGACCTGTCCCGGAAAGACATCATCAGGAACATCCGGGAACTCAACGAGGAAGGTCAAACTGCCCTGCAGAAGAAGATGGACCTCACACCAAACCAGCAGCTGCAGATCGAAAAGGCACAGAACGCGCTGGAGAAACGCAACACCGACAAGCGCTATCGCTATACCCTGCAACAGATTAGCTCCAAGATGAAGAAGCTCCACAAGGACTCTTACCAATATCAACAATATATGGCGGACAGAGAAGCGAAGAAAGTTGTTGTTGCAAGAGGGAAGTCAGCGTTGTCCAAGTCAAAGAAGAACTTGTTCGAGACGATCGCCGTGACGGTATATTTCAGAAAGGAACCTCGCTTCGAGGAAGATGCCTTGGCAATGTATCGCAGCAAGAAGGAGGAAGAGATCTTGATTAAGCAAAGAGAGTCTGAGGCACGAAACCTCCACTTTCAACGACAAATGCAGCAGGATCGCCACCATGCTGAATTTATCATGCACCAGCAACATCAGGCTCAGCAAGAAAGACTGCGACCACCGCCTCAGCAACTGCCGCCGCTGCCTCCAATACACAAACTGCCGCCACCTCCAAAAGGCACAGCGGCTCCTATAGTCAAGGTTGTGGAAAAGGACCACGGGAAAGGAGGGAAATGTAAGACTTACATCGTTCCTTCCTCTGGCTCCCGGACGTCAAGCAGCTCCAATTTCTCCAGTGAATTGTACGACACTGAAACGGAAGATTCCCCGGACTCATCGGAGTCGTCCAAGTCCAAACATGGTCGTCGCCGTCGGGGACGTCGCCATAGCCGCAGCCGCAGCCGAAGTCGTCGTCGCGGTCGTCCAGAGGAATACGGGCTGAAAGGCCTCCGTCATCATACAAGATCTGACGGACAAGATCCGCACTACATCCTCGATTCAGAGCCGCTGCGTGGGCGTTTGCTCGCTGCTCCAACATCACCAACAGCCTTGCCAATGCTTGATGGCCCGGCCTACATTGAAGAATCACTCTTGGCCAGACGGATTGCCAGCAGGCAAGAGCCATATGGTGTTGGTGATCTCGAAGACCAACTGGAAGACATGTTCAACCGTCGTCGGGCTGAACCAGCCGCTAGAGTGATACAACGAGACCTCAGGGACCTCCCTATCCGCAGGATAGAACCCCAGGAGGTTGCCCGCAGGAGACACGATGACGACTTGAAAAACGTCATACGCCTGAAACTTGAAGACGAAGCCCAGTTCGAACATGATCGACGAATGGAGGAAGAGTTCGAGGCTGAGGGGCAAGAAATTGCAAGGCGGCACCGCCGGTCCATGGAAGGGCGATTTCGTCGGCCATCACTCGACAGAGGTAGGCTTTTCCGACCGATTCCGCCCGAGACATACGAGGAGGAGGCGGCTCGGGACTATATGAGGGAACGGGAGCGTCCGGCACGCACCCATTTTGACAATCCGTTCGATCCCCTCGGGCGAGGGACGAGGCGAAACTCTTTTGGCTATCGGCCGTAATATGTTCCTTTCTTTAGTGGTCGAATGTTCGAGACTGAGACTGGCGGCACATTGTATTCCCAATCAGTTTGACAGAAACCAGTGTAAATCGTCGATGTCAGAAAGATTGCATTCAGGATGACATCCTTGTCCAAGCTAAAGACCATCAGTCAGAGTGAAGCAGAGTTGTCAGAGCAACAGCGTCCCACAAGAGGGCAAGAGGGCAAATAAGTATCAGTAACGGCCAGGTTTCGCCAAGGTTCGTGCCTAAAGAAGCAGTCGAGTCGACAACGCGAGTGCTTGAGTGCCCGACGTGAGGCGAGCAGCTCCTGCGGGTGACCCGACTCGACGGCTTTGCAGATGCAGAATGCGCGGGGGAGGAGTCTCCGTGGACGTGGGCGAACACCAGCCAATCATGGCAACCGAACAGCCGTTCATTGGCCCATTGTGGAAAATCTGCCTTAGGGATTCAATAGTTGCGCAGACGACAGCGTGTAAGGCGTGTTACCGACGTGTGAATGTGTTTGCAGGATCCGAACGTAGGGTACTCAAATAGGTACAGATAGATGGAACAGATCACAACTTCAATTAAAGACCCCTGGCAAGGATGGACAGGGACGAGGTTGTTTGTTTAGTGGGGGTTCGCACTGAGGCGCTGCACCCCCTGCTCTGAGGTGTCTAGATGTGGATGACTCAGCAATCAAGATGGCCCCTCCTTCCTCATCTAGCGCGAAATTTACACCCTCGACGCGCTGGACACGCGCCTCCCCAGCGGTCACACCTGCTGCGACTGGTCAATCAGCGTCGAAACTTTCCCTCCTGGCTGCCTGCGACAAGGGAAGAAACGCCCTCCACCTGCGTCTGCCACGATAACCGAAGACATATGTTTACACTCAATCCCCTTGGATGCCGGCTGGAATAACCAGCCTCTTCCATCTTCGATCCTCGCCGATACTCCGCCGAACCCTTCAGAGAGCCGTTCAAGTTGCCCATGTCCACACCCCGGGCCTCTACCCGGACCTAGATCCAGATTCAATGTTGTCTAGAGCCAAGAAGGCCTACGAGGCCAACGCGCCTCCACCTACCAAGAACGACCTGGCCAAGCAGCTCTTTCCCTCGAGCAGTCCGAGTGCCACACAAAATGGCAACATCATGAGCCAGTTCCAGAGGACAAGCCAGCAGGCCTCCTCTGCCACCGTATCGGCGAGGACCGCGGGGAACCCGTCGACGACCACGAACCAACCGAGGCCACCGCCTGGCCGCACAGCCAGTGTTACACACTTTGCGAGCAGCAGCCGATCTGCTTTGGACTCTATACCACAGCCAAATGGCAAATCTTTCGCTTCGCTATATTCCAGATCAGACTCTTTTCGAGACGAGCCAGACACAGCTGTTGGAAACGACACGCAAAACAAAGCCAAACCCGCAGTCTACTTTGCCGAGGACGATTTCAGCGATGACGACCTTCTCGACCTTGACTTTGAGGCACCCGCCGCTCTGCCTCCGCTTCCCAAACCCCAAGTCAAGGAGGAGACGAAAGCTCCCCGGCCGCAAGTCACCGAGCCAGAATCCGGAATACCCTCGACCCAATACGTGCCCTGGTCATCATCACCTGCTTCTCACTTCGTTCACCCTAAGCTCAGCCGCGAGAACTCAAATCGAACGGCGTCTACCGAGACCTCTCTGAAGCGCGAATCACCGGACCAATTGGATTCCCTTTTGCCTCCGCAGCCAAAGAAGCGTCGGCTTCCGAAGAGTTGGAAGGTCGAAGAGGAGGAGGACGTCATAAAACTGGATGAAGAAGATGAGCCTGAAGTCTCCATGTGGGCGCCGGGTGGCGTCACACCCGCTCCCAAGAAGAAGAAGGAGACTTGGAACATGACTGCGAGTGCCCTCAAGGAACAGAAGAAGCAACTCAAGATTCAAGCCAAGAAATCCGCCGATGACGAATGGAGCATGGACGAGATCCGGAAAGAGGTCATGCAAAGCAATATGCCCAAGGTAAAGGCGACTGCGATCGCATTGACCAAAGAGCAAAAACACGTCCAGAATCTTGTCGTAAACAAGGGCCAAAGCGTTTTCTTCACAGGTCCCGCAGGAACCGGCAAGTCTGTTCTGATGAGATCCATCATCACGGAGCTGAAGAAGAAATGGGCCAGAGACCCGGAAAGGCTGGCTGTCACGGCGTCTACCGGTCTTGCAGCATGCAATATTGGAGGCCAGACGTTACACAGCTTTTCTGGAATCGGACTCGGAAAGGAAGATGTTCAGACTTTGGTCAAAAAGATTCGACGCAACCCGAAGGCCAAGAACCGCTGGCTCAGGACGAAGACACTAATCATGGACGAAGTGTCCATGGTCGACGGCGAGCTATTCGATAAGCTTTCCCAGATCGGGAGGACTATCAGAAACAATGGCAAACCCTGGGGTGGTATCCAGCTTGTAGTCACAGGCGACTTCTTTCAACTGCCTCCTGTTCCCGACGGCGACAAGTCAAGGGATGCCAAGTTTGCCTTCGAAGCAGCGACGTGGAACACGGCTATTGACCATACCATTGGGCTGACGCAAGTCTTCCGACAAAGGGACCCAGGTAAGTCATGTCGAATCTTTTTTTGTTAGGCAACACTAATGAGTGGCAGTTTTTGCCAATATGCTTAACGAAATGCGCCTTGGACGGATCAGTGAACAAACCGTCCAGGCTTTCAGGAAGTTGACTCGGCCAATCGTATCTGACGATGGACTCGAGGTGACGGAACTATTCCCTACCCGATGGGAAGTCGAGAACTCCAACCAAGCTCGCCTGCGCAACCTTCCTGGCAAACCCCACAGATATGATGCCAGCGATGGCGGAGACGCAAATGTCCGCGACAAGCTGCTCCAGAACATGATGGCGCCCAAGACTATCGAACTCAAGGTAGGGGCTCAGGTCATGTTGATCAAAAACATGGACGACACGCTTGTCAACGGGTCGCTGGGAAAGGTCACCAAGTTCATGAGCGAGGGCAGTTTCGAGTCCTGGACCATGCCGGAGTATGGATCCGATGTTGACGTGGACTCGGAAGATAAGGCAAAGAAGAAGATCAAAGCCTTCAGTAGGGAAGTTGAGGAAGCGACCAGCGGAACGACCGAATTCCCAGTCGTTGAATTTGCTGCGGTGGACGGGACAACGCGCACTATTCTTTGTGTCCCCGAAGACTGGAAGGTCGAAACACCAACGGGAGAGGTGCAAGCCAGCCGTAGTCAGCTACCTCTGATCCTTGCTTGGGCACTTTCGATTCACAAAGCGCAAGGTCAAACGTTGGAACGCGTCAAAGTCGACCTCGGCAAGGTCTTCGAGAAGGGCCAGGCGTACGTTGCGCTCAGTCGAGCAACCTGCCAAGACGGTCTACAGGTACTGCGTTTCCAGAAGGACAAGGTTATGGCTCACCCTAGGGTCATACAATTCTACAACAAGCTGTACAGCGCCGAGGTAGCCGTTGCCAAAAAACCACCGAGTATGGCCGACTTTTTACACAAAGAAGATGACGCAAAAGAGAAGAAGAAGAAGAGCCAAGGACCTAGCTCGAGGTCCCAGTCGTTTGTGAGAAAAGGCGTTGAGGTGATCGATCTTGATGATGAAGAAGAGGCAATGGCGAGCTACGGATACTAGGCCGCGGACTGGGAGCATATTGTTAAGGCATTGGTCGGCGTTCAGGCAGGGTCTTGCAGGCTGCGCATGTCCCGAATAGTCCCGTCATGGAATAGTAGGTCGGGATCATGGTCTGGACATAGATACCTAGAATTGAAGTTGGAGACGCCTCGGTGTTGGTAGTCTTTGGAGGCAGGGAAATACTCTGCTTCTATTTTGAAGGCGATTCTAGGACATATTGAGACTCAATGGCATCTCTTTTGTGCAACTTGAGGGGCGCGATCATTGGTTGACTCGGAAACTTCCAAGGAGGTGAACTAAGGCAAAGAGGAGCAGGCCGATCGCCAGGGTCAAAGTGCAGAAAAGGGAGTGCCCGTGTTTGTGGCTGAAGATTGACAGGTATTGGGATCTTGCTGGCTGTCCGGGTTGACGAATTCAAGGGACGTGGTAGTACAGCAGATGCTCGACTCTGCCAAGGGATCTTGCTCCACTGAGGTACCTGATGAGCACTGACCCCAGTACACTAAAAAGGTACCTTGCGACGGGAAGCTTGCGCCCATGACGTTCGTCCCGTCTGTTCTTACGGCGGCAGTAGCTACCAGCCACCGCCAATCGATCAATCATAGCTGGACCTACCTACCCCCCGTGACTTTGCAGTGTGGCCTGGAACCTGCACCTGCACCTGCCCCGGTCGCCTACCTGCCTTTTATCGATAAGAATTGGGCTAGGGAAAAAGTGAAGGTAACCTAAACCCAGTCAGTGAATGTGTCCGAGGGGGAATTTGGGGGAAAGAGCTATCTGGTCCCTCATCACGACGCACAATTATCTCCCAACCTCAACCACCCGTTGACCGAATCTTGCGATCAAAACACCCAACCGCCTCCCCATACGACGCGCGAACTACGCAAAGCCATCATATCATCCTAATTCCCGCCAACATTGTCTGCCACAGAGCCCGAGGCGGACCCAGGGCGGTGCACTCTGTTACAGCCCACGACTCGGAGCATTTGGGCGCTGTGACGCAGTTGTCACGATGGAGTTCATAGGCCTACAGATGCTGGTGACCCTTCGCCAGCCTGAAGGCACCATGCTCAAGGGCACAGTCAGCGAGATTGAACCTGGCGCCAGTTTGACTCTGGCTAATGGCAAGCTGCCAACCCTCTTCACTCCCAAGGAGCCATCATGCTAACACCCGCCTTCGCAGTCTTTACCATGGGCACAAACCATTGGATCCCCAGAATATTGATCGATGCGGCCAACATACTCGAGCTGTCCGAGTACAAGGAAAAAATCGCGCCCAACACCTTCACCGCGCCGGGCATAAGTCCTGTTCCCGCCCCTGTCGTCCCCCAGCCTGCGCAACCTGCCTTCGCTGATCCCGCAATCCTTAGTATGGGGAAGCGGCCCGGCTCTAGTATTATAAGTGGCAGCGACAGTCAAGTCCTTCCTGAGGTGATACCCCAACCAAACGTGGGCATTGCAAGGGACCCTCAGCCAGGACAACCTGGGGTTCTGCCTCCCATCCATCTGGCGATGGCATCGAGAAAAGATGAGGTGAATATCGGCCTCAGCGAGTCTTTGCAGGAGTTGGACGTGGATGAGCCGACACCCACTGCTGCAAGACATTACGCCGCTGGAGCTTCTGTCGCGCAGGATGCGCACGAGGCATCGGGTCCGTCGCAACCAAAGAAGAAGAGCAGGCGTCGTGAGAAGGCAAAGGCCCCCAGGAACGGCACTGCCGAGGAGAATGCGCAGGAAAGCACGCCGTCCCGTGGCAATCCCGCCAATCGTGGCAAGGGCTGGAGACAGACGCCCATCCTGCAGAGCTCGCCCTCATTCCAACCCTTCAATTCACTCAAGCGCGGAATCAAAGGCAAGAAAGACCTCCCCGAAAATGGCTGGGCATCCGAAGACGTCACCGAGGAAATGGCGGAATTCGACTTCGAGGGCAGTCTGGCCAAGTTCGACAAGCGCACCATTTTCGATCAGATGCGAAAGGAGGATCAAGTGGACGAGGCCGACAGACTGGTATCGCACAATCGCAAACCTAAGCCCGGAACCGCAGGCGGCAAGAATCTCCACTACACAGAAAACGTGCTCGACATGCCTTCCTCAAGCTCAAAAGCGAACCAGGATTTCTGGAACAGCGAGGCTGATGACGCCGTTAACGGAGGCGATCGGTTGAGCGGGCGCGAGGTCCGAAGCGCTCAGGGTAGTCGGAGGGCAGAGAGCAAGCCAGGGGCTGCAAGGAGGTCGCAATCTCGCAAGGCGAGCGCGCAGCTTACTAGCCAGCCTCTGAATCGCGTGAACTCCAGCGTACGTCTGAACAGACAGCCCCAAGCGTTGCTTCGTCAGAATAGTTCACAAAGCATTCTTAGTACTAACACTCTGCAGCATGGGACCCAGCCCGGCTTCTACCTCTTGCCATCGAACCGACGTCTGGAAACCGTCTCCGCTCTACAGATGCTCAATCTTGAGAACATAGCTGCAAATGAGATTGGGCTGACAGAAGACATGATGACGGAGAACGCGGGGCGAGGCATAGCAGAAGTCACCTTGACTGCGCTCGAAGACCCAGCCATCCAGGTACGACTCGGCACAGGCGGTGCTAATGCACCGACCGAGAATCCAGTGGCAGCTGCCACTGTTGTTATGCTAGCCGGTAACAACAAATCGGGTATCCGGGCGATTGCCGCGGCTCGGCATCTTAGAAACAAGGGGCTTAATATCCTCGTTTGTGTTGTTGGCATCGAGCGCGAGCGGGACTTGCTGGAAGACATGCGGCAGCAAATCCGAATCTTCAAGAACTTTGGAGGTCGCGTGCACACCAAGCTGGAGTTGTTTGAACAGCTCCGAAAGACATCTTCGAACCCGGCAGCCTCAGTAACCCTCATCATCGATGCCCTCTTGGGCTTGGCAATCTCGTTTGAGGAATTGCGAACTGGCGACCAAGCCACCGTCTACGAGCTGATTGAATGGGCCAACCGCAACGAAGCGTTTGTTCTTGCGGTGGATGTGCCAACTGGTATCGACCCGTCGACTGGAAAGGTCAGCATTATCGATGGTGGCCGTCTATATGTCAAACCCCGATACGTTGTCGCTATGGGCGCACCGAAGAAGGGGTTGCTCGAGGCGATGGCCCCGGTTGAATCGGATCCCATCAGTAGCCAAGTAGGAGGGGCTGTGGCAGAGGACAACGACTGGAAGCTGTTCATTGCTGACATGGGTCTTGGTGCTGCCGTCTGGAAGAAAGCTGGGACCAAGATCCGCAGAGGCATCGACTTTGACAACAAATGGGTGCTGCAAATGCGGTACCAGCCAATCTTGACGCAGGAGTAAGCGATAAGGTCTTTTCGACGACGAAAGTGGAAATCAAAAGGAGCAGAGATTAAGCTGGTTCACCTCGGGAACGGAACTACAAAAGCGACACTTCTTCATTCAAGTTACTGCATTATTGGGGCGTTTTCGTCCGCCCTTGGTTTGGAGGACATCATACATGAAGGAAAAGGAGTTGGGGCTCACCAATCATGCATCCCTGAAGGCGACAATGATCTTGCATGATATCTTAGCAGCGCGTGATACCGACATTAACCGGTTTCTTTCAATCACACTATTACTTTACTACATCTTATCTCTTGTTGGTGCTCTGACGACACGCATCAGCCTGCTTTGCAATGTATGTGATGCTAAGTGATTCTGTGAACTGGCTTACAGCGCATCACTATTTAACCCGCACATCTTAGTGCCAGACGTCGCTGGCACACCTTCGTCTTCGCCATATCCAAGCCAGGTGGATATTGGTCTTAATTTGGAATATCTGATACTCAAACGCTTATTCAATACTGCGTGGCAGCCTTAGTGATCCCAGACGACAACTGGTCAAACTCCCGTCTAGGTCCCGCAATTCAGACGCAACGTTGAATATCGCATGCCCATTGAAATTCAAGCAGAGGTAACCTGGGGGCTGGGAGCAGCCAGCTTTCCTAGCCTGGGACATGGGTTCTCCCACCGTCACGTTACCCTCCCTCCCTCCGGATCGATGTTTCCTGTGTAGTCGAGGTAATAAGCGCAAGGCGACATTAGTGTAGGGCAGCTATTTTGGGGGCCGAAAAGGGTTGCAGGGCATAGCATCGATAGCGGGCGGGTTAGTGCTGACGGCTCGTGGAGCTGAGCGAGCTCTGCTTGCTTGCTTCGGACATTGGCGGGGATGGGGGCCGGCCGGAGGTGTGAGAGAACGTGGGGCTTATCTGGGCAATCCCTGGGTGATATCAGGCTGTGTTGCTGTGTGGGAGGAGAAGAAGAGGGATGGATCACGATTGTTTTCTGGAACGGTTTTTTTCAAGCGAGAGTAATGTGATCAGGCTGTCGATGAGGGAGGAACATGGCTTTGACGGTATGCTGTCATGATGCGCGTCTCACGGTCCGGTGCCGTTTCCGGGTTGGCGGAGTTGTGACGGCGTTCGTATGGGAGATTGCCAAGGTAAGGCTGCATCAATTCAAGACGCGAGTGTTCACACTGGAGGCTTAGAGGGGGGAGGGGAGAGGGGAGATGCCAAGGCGATGAAATCAAAAGCGTGGTATCCCAAATTCTCAGATCTCCTGGCGGGAAAGGTTCATATCCCCGTTTGTGTCTGGAGTATCTTCAACAATGAGCACGCTTGCTGTGAAGATCGTCTAGGGGTGGGTGGCCTGGGTTCGGTCGGATTTCAATTGGTGATGCTACATAATTCCTCGAGCTGCTCATTGTTCTTTTCATTTTTGCCCATATAATCTAGTATGACCAGTGATGTTTGGTCAAAATATTCTCACCTTCGACTTGTACATCTACATGCCCCACTTTAAAAGCCATATTTTCTGGGAAGGTCGGGAGGTCGAGTCTGTAGGTCTTTTTTTTTTTTTTTTTCTTCCCGTCTCGTCTGGTGTAGAATGTGTCTGCTCGGGAGTCGGCAGAGGCTTCAAGATCTCGGCGGAACCGCTGCGGCCTGGAGGCGCAGAGGTGTGGGCAGCAGGCGCGATGACGGGGGACCGCTTGCTAGAACGTCTGGAAGATGGGAAGGAAGTGGCTGAGTAGAAGGGCAGAAGCACATCTCTGGTCAAGATAGCAGCGTTAAGCGCTGGAGGTGGGCGAGGATGCGACGGTGGTGGAAGGGTTCATGGTGTAAGTCGGACGAGGCTGGTGGAGGCTGTGGGCTCGCCAGCCTGCTGGGGAGATATGTGCCATATCGTCACTATGGTGCGAGTGCCCCTGCTAGCTTACCAGATTCAGACCCAAGTTTCGAAACGAATTTCTAGCATGGTTTGCTGTGTAAATTGGAGAAGCCCAAGAGTTTAGCCGTGGTGTTTGAGTCTGTTGACTCTAGACTCTCTTGAACCACTTACACAGGCGTGTAGGTCAGTGTCAGGTTTGCGTCGAGGAAACAGGCAATGAGCGAGGAAACATCGTTAGAGAGAAGCAAAAGCAGTACTCGATCCATTGACTGGCTCAGCGGATAGACAAGCTTCTTTCCATCATCATAAGGCTGGGCTGCTGAGACGAGATGGTGTGTGGGGGTGTGCCACATTGCAGTGCTACGGCATGCACAGCCAATACATGGCCCCCAAACATGCAGCGGGCTGGTGAACCACACGCGAGCGATCTTGCAGGCAGCGTGCTTCTCTCCCCAGCCGTGTCTTAGCTTGACCGTACCGGCGGTTTGGACACCGGAAGAGAGGCATTGGCGGGAGGCCAACGGGCAGGGCTCCGGACCGCTGCAAAGAATCGATTCCCATGTTGTATTATGAGAGTTGTATAAGATATCGTGGCCGTCGCATGTCTAAGGCTGGATACAGCACCGGCGTGGCATTCCTTCTTGAAGGCTCAAGCGCGAGAATAGCTCCTACCAGTCTCTCCTGAGCGCTTCCAAGCACGCATCACCTGCAGCCACTATTAGTAGTCGCATTCTTCTAGAACAACGAACAGACGAACGACCGTAACCAACGCGGTTGTCGAAAAGCATCTCGGACCGGCCCGCCAAGTCACGAGACTGGCGGCAAACCAACTTCAGATGAGCTTCAGGTCCGACGTGGTCGAGGTGGGCTCCGATGCTGCGCAGTCTCACGGGTAAGTACGACTTCTTGTCCAAGAGCTCCCACCTCAGGAATATGCCATACACATACGGTGCTGACAATGACGAATAGACAGACGGATACGTCCAGCCACGACCACAGCCTAGCCCACCGCAGCGACAGTTGCCCGACCAATACCTGGCTGCAGGAATCGTTCCTGCACACCGTCAACAACGCGGAGCGAATTGCCGCCGGCGGCCCCCGCCCCGGAGTGGGCATTTTCGGGATCGGACTGCTAGATACCCACATCAACCGCACGCCGACCATGCACTCGGCGCGCGACGCTCTTCCGGCATTCGACCACGCATCTGCGCCGACAGCCCCGAGGTACCTAGGCTGGCGGCAAAAAGTGGCAACGTGGCCTGCAGCTAGCCCACCGAAGAGGATAAACGATCGTAAGTTGTCTGTGTAAATTGGGGCGGCGACTGCGGCGATGGGTGTGGTTGCTCAGGAATTTCGGGGAGTGAGCAACCGGCGATGACTCGCCTCCAGGGGGGACCCGTTCGTTCTGGGGCTGGAACAGGTATGGCGGGTGTAATGGTCCGTTTTGTTTGCATCAGGCAATAAGCCGGTTGTCGCTCGTTTGCCGCCGCATGCATCAACCAGCAGTCGCCTCCGTTGAGTTGCTGGTTGATGTGTATGGCTTGAAATTTTTTTCTTCGTCTGAGCTGGGATGAGACTGCGGCGTCTTGTCGGATCCGCCGCTCCTTTGGTCGATTTGTCGCAGAATAAACAAAGAAGTCGCTCGCCACTTCCGTCCGCCCTCTGCTCTCTTTCTTCGCCGCCGCGCTAAAACATAGTTGCCGTAGTATCAAGGTAAGGAACCACAAGTCTGAGGTTTCGGAGCAGAGGCGACTTTGGCAAGAAGACCAGAAGGGGACTATGTCGAGGGGACCCTTCGAAATGTGATCTCGGTGAGGCAAAGGTGTGCAAATTGCCATATCGAGAAAGCTCACTAATGCAAAAAGACGATAAGCGCAAGGTACGGGAAAGCAGAGAGTCGATGTGGGGCATCCATGCCGGATGGGTAGGCATGATTGGCATGTACCTACCTGCCTAGGCTGCAGGCTGGCGTCGTGGCCGTGGTGTCTGCTGTGCTTGGACACCTGGAGTGCGTGAGTGCCTGTCTGCCTACGGGTCCCTCAAGGTCAGCAACCAAGCAAGAGTGGAAGCTTCCAACACTTTCCACTGCCCTGACGACACCTGAATCATAGAGCTTGGGCCAGATACAGAGCCTGGATACCTCCATTATCTAAGCCGCCGAAGCCACCGGAGACCACTTAATCCGCCCCACTCTATGATTTCATTGGTCGCCAGGGACCACTTCCCAGCGATTGCCGCCTCCCGTCACCATTGCTGCTGGCCTTTACGTGCACCTGGTTCTCCGAAACCAAAGCTTCCATCTACCTCCCACCTTTATCTCCGTGATCCACGATTCCCCTTTCTCCATTACCACACACGCAAGGGGATATAAACCATTCCCATCAGTCCCTTCCTTCCTGTGTTGAACCCATTTGCGGACAACACACGTATTGACAGCTTCTCCCCCACACCGCTGACGATCCCACCTTCCCACCTTCACCTCAACAGCCGCATACGATCCGAATCCGTCAAACACACAAACCGTCACGATGGCTCCTCCGTCGGAACAGCCCGCCGAGCACAAGAAGGTCAACCTTATGTGAGTAAAATTCGGCTTTCTCTGCCTCGGTGGCATACTCGAACTTGGAAGGAGCGATGCTGACTATGATCACCAGGGATGCCTCCGGTGCCGAGGTCAAGGATGTTTGTCTCCCCGCCTCCCAGCTACCTACGATCCATTCCGCAAGCTGCGGCGATACTGACTACCAAAAACAGCAAGATGATACCGCGACCGCTATTCTGAAGAAGAAGAAGAAGCCCAACCAGTTGATGTACGTGAGCTCTTGGTGGCGTGGGGTAACGTTCAGAGCACTGACTGTGGAGCAGGGTTACCGATGCTGTGAACGATGACAACTCCATCATCGCTCTGTCCGAGAACACCATGGAGGCTCTCCAGCTCTTCCGTGGTGACACCGTGCTTGTGCGCGGCAAGAAGAGGAAGGACACCGTTCTCATCGTCCTCGCCGACGATGAGCTCGATGACGGCAGTGCCCGCATCAACCGTGTCGTTCGCCACAACCTGCGCGTGAAGCATGGTGACATGATTACGATCCACCCTTGCCCCGACATCAAATACGTGCGTCCTACTTGTATACACCCTCGCATTGGAGCGGGATACTGACTCTTTCACAGGCCAAGCGCATTGCCGTCCTGCCCATCGCTGACACTGTCGAGGGTATTACCGGATCCCTCTTCGACGTTTTCCTCGCCCCCTACTTCCGCGAGGCCTACAGACCAGTCCGCCAGGGCGATCTCTTCATCGTCCGCGGTGGTATGAGGCAAGTAGAGTTCAAGGTCGTCGAGGTCGATCCCCCCGAATACGGCATTGTGGCCCAGGATACGGTTATTCACTGCGAGGGCGAGCCCATCCAGCGCGATGAGGAGGAGAACAACCTGAACGAGGTCGGCTACGACGACATTGGTGGTTGCAGAAAGCAGATGGCCCAGATCCGTGAGATGGTCGAGCTTCCCCTGCGCCATCCTCAGCTCTTCAAGTCTATCGGTATTAAGCCCCCTCGCGGTGTGCTTCTCTACGGACCCCCTGGTACCGGTAAGACTCTGATGGCGAGAGCTGTTGCCAACGAGACCGGCGCTTTCTTCTTCCTGATCAACGGTCCCGAGATCATGTCCAAGATGGCCGGTGAGTCCGAGTCCAACCTTCGCAAGGCGTTTGAGGAGGCCGAGAAGAACTCTCCCGCCATTATCTTCATCGACGAAATCGACTCCATCGCGCCCAAGCGTGAGAAGACCAACGGTGAGGTCGAACGTCGTGTTGTTTCTCAGCTGCTCACCCTCATGGACGGCATGAAGGCTCGCTCCAACGTTGTCGTTATGGCTGCCACCAACCGTCCCAACTCTATCGATCCCGCTCTGCGTCGTTTCGGCCGTTTCGACCGTGAGGTCGATATCGGCATCCCCGACCCTACTGGCCGTCTTGAGATTCTTCAGATTCACACCAAGAACATGAAGCTCGGCGACGATGTCGACCTGGAGCAGATTGCCGCCGAAACCCACGGTTACGTCGGTTCTGATGTTGCTGCCCTCTGCTCTGAGGCTGCCATGCAGCAGATTCGTGAGAAGATGGACCTCATCGATCTCGACGAGGACACCATCGACGCCGAGGTCCTTGACTCTCTAGGTGTTACCATGGAGAACTTCCGCTTCGCCCTCGGCGTCTCCAACCCCTCTGCACTGCGCGAGGTCGCTGTTGTCGAGGTTCCCAACGTTCGCTGGGAGGACATCGGTGGTCTCGAGACCGTCAAGGCCGAGTTGCAGGAGAGCGTCCAGTACCCTGTCGACCACCCCGAGAAGTTCCTCAAGTTCGGTCTCTCACCGTCTCGTGGTGTCCTGTTCTACGGACCCCCCGGTACTGGTAAGACGATGTTGGCCAAGGCTGTCGCCAACGAGTGCGCTGCCAACTTCATCTCCGTCAAGGGACCCGAGCTTCTCAGCATGTGGTTCGGTGAGTCTGAGAGCAACATCCGCGACATCTTCGACAAGGCCCGTGCCGCTGCGCCCTGCATCGTCTTCCTCGATGAGTTGGATTCCATTGCCAAGGCTCGTGGTGGATCCGTTGGTGACGCTGGCGGTGCTTCTGACCGTGTCGTCAACCAGCTTCTGACTGGTAAGTGCTGAAAGCAGATCTTCAGTCTAGATGAATTGCTTGCTAACTTCGCCACAGAGATGGACGGTATGACCTCAAAGAAGAACGTCTTCGTCATTGGTGCTACCAACAGACCTGAGCAGCTTGACCCTGCTCTGTGCCGTCCCGGCCGTCTGGACTCCCTCATCTATGTCCCTCTGCCTGACCAGCCCGCCCGTGCTGGTATCCTGAAGGCCCAGCTTCGCAAGACCCCTGTCGCCGGCGATGTCGACCTCGATTTCATCGCCTCCAAGACCCATGGCTTCTCTGGTGCCGATTTGGGCTTCATTACCCAGCGTGCTGTCAAGCTTGCCATCAAGGAGGCTATCACCGCCGACATCCAGAAGACCAAGGCGCGCGAGGCTGCTGGCGAGGAGGCCATGGATGAGGACGAGGAGGACCCCGTTCCCGAGCTTACCAAGCGTCACTTCGAGGAGGCTATGCAGATGGCTCGTCGCTCTGTCAGCGACGTTGAGATCCGCCGGTACGAGGCTTTCGCCCAGCAGATGAAGAACGCTGGCCCTGGCGCGTACTTCAAGTTCCCCGAGGGTGATGCGGCTGCCAACCAGGCTGCCAACAACTTCGGTGACGCTGGTAACGATGATGACCTCTACGACTAAAGGGTGGGCTAGGATAGATTGCCACTTAATGCTGGCCGGCCTTGTATTTTAGTTTTTTATTGCGCTCTCCGATACATCTACATCATCGAATCACCAGATGATGAACCGGGTCACAGAAATCCAACGAAGGTGGAGATCTGGAGGCGGATGGAGTTGGTAGACAGGTAGTCTCATGCAAAGTTGATAACTTACAAGTGGACCACAGACTCTTGCGTTGCCGATGTGTATAGTGAAGGGTGACACAGCCCAGTTGGAACATGCCATGCAAATTGGGAAACCACACGGTGGGAACAAGCTTAGACGACGAATTCGCAAGGTATAGTCTGAATAAAAGCTATTTCAGCCTACGGTTGATCATTGCTTGGCTGGCTGTCTAAAAACTTGATATCGTATGCGCTCCTACCTTCTTGTAAGGTAGAAGCCGAACCCCAATGAACTGTCCGAATCCAATTTTATACACGTATGCGATGCCGCCCCCCAGCATCGACTTGAAGTTGATATGAAAGGCTTTTCGTTAAATCACCGAGTCTTTCGCTCAAACTCGGCCTGGTCTCGTCTCCTGCAGCACGGCCGCCCATAACACCATGGTAGGTCGTTCATTTCATTATTTCTCGGAAGCTTCACTCCCGCTACTCTTCTCACGCACCGCCCGTATCGCCGCTTTCTCTTCATCGCTTCGCATCCTCTAGCTTCCGCCCGCGTTATCGATTTCGCATACTGCCTCTAAACTATCGCGTGTCACCTTGATAGCTTCCTCGACGACAGCGGCCGGGACGGCGAGGCTGGGCGGGTTGTTGGGGTCCGCGGCGGACGCTGCCGTGCCTGCGGCGGGTGTCGGGGTGGAGGACGCGCCGTTAGTCTTCTTGTCCTTGTCCGTTGTGCCGTTAGTCTTGGATGTTGACGGAGACGCGGTCGATGGTGCGGGTGGGTTAAAGGTGTCCTGTCGGACGTCGTCGAGGACGCGGCGGAGGAGGGCTGGGAAGGTCGTGACCTCGCCGTTGCGCAGGAGGTTGAGAGCATGGTTTTGGATGAGGGTTGGCCAGTTTGCTTGGTTCGCGTTAAGGCTATGGAGAAGGTGCTCTTGAATCCTGAGGGAAGAAACACGAGCGTTAGTGCTGTACCAAGAGAACACGTCGGACAGGCAGAGGCTTACTTCGTGACATGACCCTCCTTGAGTAATAATGTGTTGATTTGCGATCGAAGCTCGGGGTCGAGAGTTGCTGCTGAGTGGTTTGCGGCCGAGGGAGGCACCTTGACCGGGGTTGAGGATGCGCCCGACATGGTGATGGTCTGAGAATTGATGTGTGTAAAGTGGTCTCGAGGGACACGCCTGAAGGGCTTCACTGATGCCGTCAAAGCAGTTGATGCTTCACGAGACCTTCGACCTCAAAGTATCCTATCGCAAAAAAACACGATTCGTTGGGGAGGCGCCGGCAGTCCACAAGACAACGGCAGGAGATGAAGTTTGAATGCTCTTTGCGACTCTGAAGGTGCCGTTGTTAGTAGGTGGTAGAACAGTCTTTGCTTTAGACAGAGCTCGCCTTGAGTGGAAAATGTACCTTAAAAGTTACTTTGTCGTCTCCTCAACAGAGTGTCTGCACGAATTGGGTCTCCTTCAGCAGGCTGGATGGTGATTCTAGTGGCAAGGCTGACTTTTCGGGACATGGAAGCTTAGCAGCTCTCGCAAGTTCGCGCAAGGCTGAGTTATGCAGGGGTGTCTTGTTTAGGCAGGCGGTGGGCACGTGGGGTTGGAACTTGCGACGACCATCACCACGCCATCGGCAGGCACCTCGACCCCACTCTTGGCTTATTCGCACGAACAAAAAAGGTGGTTTCAGTGTTCCCCAAAGTCGGCCGCGGCCGGTCTTCCCTCCGCTGGACCCAAAGTAATGCAACCACCCACCGAGCCTCAAGTGAACCTCATTGGTGTCAAGACCTGTCAACTCCATCTCGTCCTCTCGTCCTCTCGTCCTCTCGTCCGAACTATCGAGGTTGGCTACAACTTCTTCTGGCAGTTGGGGCTGGACCATCGGGCTGGACTGCGTCGTCCGCAAACACACTTCGACTTCGGCTTCAACTTCGCCTCAGCAGCGATCGTCGCGGTCGAGACTCTTCTTTCCATCTGAACCCTCACAACTCGCGGCGATTCACGGAACACGCGATGCAGATGGCAAATATTCGCCTCACTCCCGCTCGCGACTTCTATCAGCTTCTGCCATCTTTGCGTCAGCTCAAGCCTACTGCGATCACCGAGCGAGCCCTGGGCCTGTCATCGGAGCTGTCTCTCATCGACAGGTGACAGCTCACATGTCGCCTTGGATCCCACCGAAGTGGAACAGGAGGGTGGAAAGAGGAGCCTGGCCTCTGTGTCCCATCCGTCATCGATTTTGAAAAAGCTTTTCATCGATCCGACCGCCTGTTGCTACCTTTTTTTTTTTTCTCCAAGGAGGATCTAACCCCCAGCAGCGTCCACCGCAATTTCATCGAAAGTGCTGTTCACACGCTTCCCATGCAGCTCCCAGACTTTGCCATGCACGGGTGAAGCATGGGTTCCAGACCAACACCCGTCGTTCGCTGCGCATGTCACTGCAGCGTGGCCCCGCTCCTCGCCGCGGTTCCGACAGGCGGCGATGCTACTCTCGAAAACACGACGTCCCCATCAAAAAGAGTCCAACTCGCCGCGCCGACATCCTCCGGCCCGTTCCCGGAGGGGCATGACCGCACCGCGCATGGAACTAATCAAAATACACTCACGGGGCAGCACTCATCAACGACTCATGAGAAACGGGCCCTCCCGCAGCGTCAATCCCTTCCGAGAAGGAAGATTCCGGTCTGAACATGTGGCTCGCCGAAGGAGAAGAACATCTTGTTCGCTTCTTCTCGAGCTGCCGCTGTTAGTCCCGGGCCTCTCGCATGCAACAACGGTTCAGACGCTCATCGCGGATTGGACGGCAGCGAGGACGGCACGAATCTTGACCAACCAACTCAGCCTCCCGTAAACGAGCCCGGTGTTGTATCACCCTACCAAGCGGGCAGATCAACCGGTCACGTTGCCCATGCTCGAGCAGCATGGCCATGGCATGCTCGTGCCCCACCCACCGACATGCCGGGGACCGGGGGTCTGGAATCCCGCCTGCTGGGAACGTGTCGGGAACGTTCACGTATTCCCCTCATCCGGGATTTGAGAGGTGAGGAAAACTCGGGGGTAATGCAAGAACGCGGACCAAGGCGCGAGTGCGTTGCTTGGGCTGCGTCCGTTTCGCTGTGTCGGAAGCACCTCTTGTGGAAGTCCACTTGTCGGTCAGGTCGCCGACAGCCCTGCCCAGCTCACCGATGCGATTGTGCATGCCCGACGGAAGAAGGAAAGAAAATCAAGAATTAAACTTCCTTCTATTGCATTGCTTCGGGCGGCACGCGCAGGCTGGTCGCCAAAAAAGCAAGCAAAACATCATGTCTCTCAGCTATCTGTCTATCCCAGATGCATCGAGGCGGACGAGGATTCTCAAGTGGTGTACATGTGGTGTATTCCCATTCGGCCGGATCTCAGCTTCACCTCCTTTCAGGTACCAAAAATTCATGCCAGACGGACGGGATCACAAGACACCGAGCCAATGCTTCTCTGGATCGGTTCCGAGGCCCATGTCCTACTTTGCAGTGTCGGTCACATCCAGCACACACTACTTCCAATGAACGTCTCATCATTGCCTCAAGGGCGGGAGAAGAAGGCCTCAATACCAGGAGTCCAACCAAATATCGCGCTCGCTGACCGTGTAAGTCCACGGTCTGCGATAAGAGGGCGGGGGATCCATTTTCACACACCCCAGCCTGAAAATTTTAAAACCTGTAATACACCGACCCCTTCACCGCTACTATCCCCGGCAGCCATGTATACATGCTGCATGTATGCAGGTTGATGAAATGCCACCCGACGAACGCAACCCCCGGCAGCCTCCCGGTACACCGTACCGCGGGACCACTTCTTGGGCAGCTCTAGCTCGATGCGGGCGGAAGATACATCGGGGGTTCCACGCGGTGGCTTTTTGTTCTAACCGTCGTTTCTTTTTTCCTCCTGTCGCGTCTCTTGGGTATGTATGTACGTACAACATCTGGCATGCTTTGCTTGCACGGCTTTCTTGCACCATGACTTCCATCCCGTCCCGTCCCATCCATCTCAACCTGCTAAACGGGCGTGCTTACCGCGAGGCGCGGGAAGGGATAGGAAGGATAAGCACTGCGTCTAAGCCATCTCCTGCAGGGTCTCGTGGGATTTCGTGACTGGACTGTCGTGCTCCCCGAGAGTGTGTGCCTCCAAGAATCCCTGCTTGTTCAACGTCTATCTTGGCCGCATCAGTTTTGCTCGAGTGCGAGGCTTGTGGTACCCTGGGGGGGAGAAAGAGCGCGAGAGGGACCGAGATTGGAGATTCATCTACCGAAAGAAAAGCCCATGAATCAGGCAAAACTAGAGCAATCGCAAGCGCGGTCCGCTCTGCGCGTGTGTAAGTAAACTTTTGCCGGTGCATGATGCGTGTGCGTGTGCGACGATGTTCGAAGATCATCTCCTTCCCCCTCCCGCCCTGCGAAAGGGCGATCCTGTGACCGGGGGTGAGGAGGAGAAGAAGGTCAGCTTGTAAGCACCGTAATATTGCATCGTCAGAACTGAGTTTCCCGTCGGAGTGCTCCCCGCGGGTAGTAGCTCAGTACGCCAAACACAGACTCGGTTCGAAAATCTCACGATGTAACAGGCGCTTCCGTTGCAACCGTACCTTTCTCGAATCCTTCCAACCGGGCCTCTGCCGTCATTTGTTCCGGGTACCGCTTCCTTACATGTCATTTGTCGATTCCCCCTTGATCCCCATTTCTCCGCCGTCACATATCTCAATTCTTGAAAAGAAGCCCATTCTTGGCAATCCGGTCGGAATGGCTGGTTCGGGGTGGTTGGTCTCTATCAAAGTTTGAGACGGCATGTTATACCGACATTTGGCACTCCTACCCCCCGGACTAAGACAATCGACCAACCGTTCCAACACGGCAAAGAAGAAGAAGAAACAATAGCGATGTGATCAAAGATATGGCGCTTCTCCGCTTCTCCGCATGTCAGTCACCGGAAGCAAAGTCTAGAAGCAGTAAGATGATGCTAGCATCTCCGATGGAGTTCAACAGTTGGAGTAACTGCTCCATCTCGAGTTGGTCGTTGGGTACTCGATATCTGTCGTCTGACCTCCCGGTGTACTACGGCCACCACCACTACCAGAAAGGCAAAGAAGCACAGCATTCCCAGCCCAGTTACCACTTCGGGGCGAGCCTCGTCTACTGACACGTTACTTGGCATCAGCCGCCCGAGTCGCACGGCATACTCGGCCGCGGCCGCCTCTAAGCGGTGGAGGGGCGCGGATGAGTTGCTGCTGGACTTCTTTGCTGTAACCTCGATGAGATTTGTGAAAGGGGTGTTTGTCTACGAAAGCTGAGGGTTGTGATAGAATCCCCGAGTAACGACGACCTCGTACTTTTCTTTCCATCTTCCTAAACATTGTAGCGATGAAAGAAAGAAGGAAGAAGCGGTTTGGCTCAGTGACATTGTAATACCATTCCGCGGCGCATGCTACGAGCGCGGTATACTGTTGCCAAGCGGTGATCGTTTGCTGCAACTCTTCGGATTTACATGGACGGCTCCGTATTATCAAAATCCTCTCCATGCCGCGCCTGGCTGACACGGCCGCCGGCAAAGCTCGGCGATATGAGATGAAATCTAAGACATCTAGGCGTACGGTTTCATGCGCCAACCCTGATGTTCTGCATTAGGGACGCATAACAAGATATCTGTTTTCCAAAAATGAAAAATAAGCACCCTCCAGATTCATTGTGAGACAATGTTCGATTTCGTGTGCTCAGCTGATGGCGGATGTGGGTGTCATTGACACACACATACACATACATCTACGATACACCCAGAGTTCGCGTTGAGCCCCGGCGCTCCGGACCGTTCCCCATAATCCTTTTGCCATGTAACACTCACTTTGTATCATAATCTGTCCTCGTCTACGGGTGATGTCGTACAATCGATTGGGCCAGTTCTCACCAGTGGCGCACACAAGAGAGCCATCAAGCCACCGCCCAACATTCAAAGTAGTAATATGGTCAAGCATTTCACAGCACGTATGACTCGTGCGCCGCGCCCATCACCAGACATGTAACGACACGCCGTGACTTGGCTTGCAAGCCACCTCCGCCTTTCTCGCGCTGGAAAACGCCACAAACTCGGTTCGTCTCATGCCGTGTACCCG